CGTCGTCGCGTCGGTTCTTCTACTGGTCTCAAGAGCCCAAAGAGGACAAAGACGACGAGTGGGTCACCAAAATCAATGACTACATCAATAACCCTCCGGCTCCGGGCTCTCGCGCGGGCACCGGTGGATCGGGTTCGGGCGGTTTGTCTCCGGCCAGCGCTTTGGCCGACTTGTCGTCGCTGCCGGAGGCCGACCTCCAGGGCCTACTCAACAATATGTCTCCGCAACAGTTCATGTCTGTGTTGGGCGGTGTGGGAGGCATGGGTTCGGCCGCCAGTCTGGCCTCGTTGTTGGGCGCGGCCACTGGCGCTCGTAATACTACTCCCAGCGCCGCCACGAGTCAAGTGTCGACTCCGGCGGCTCCGCAAACGCCAGCCACCACTCCTGCTGTGGTGAGCGCCGCCACCAGTGAGTCATCGTTGACTACAAGCCCGTGAAGCGGCCGAAGCCCGCGGTGGTTTTGTCCACTATGGCGCCCATAACCGCCTGACCGGTCATCAGACCGAGGCCCGTATGTCAACCGACTAAACGTCTCATATTAGTCACCTAACTTACAACCAAACAGTCCACGCGATGGCGACGGACTCAACGGTAATATAATTTTAGTATTAACACCCGTTAGAGTGAACTTACAATTTAATTATCATAATAACTACATTTCAGTGGACCTGTCGTCGAGCCTAACGCTGGATGCGTTGCAGCCGTTGCTCACTAACGAAGAGTTTATGCGTCGCGTAAGGGAAGCGCTACCCGCGGGTCCGGACACCGCCGACCCGACCAACACATCCGCTGTGTTCGCGTCGACCGTACAGTCGCCCCAATTTCAACAGGCGTTGAGTACGTTCTCGAGCGCTCTCCAGAGCGGACAGTTGGGTCCACTCATTAACCAGTTCTCGTTAGGCCAGGACTGTGTCGACGCCGCCAATGCCGGAGGTATGCATCGCAACACTTTTACCACTACACATAGAAATAACAGGGTTTATAGGATCTAGCTACCCTACCACCCTCCACCTTATAGGTTTAATATGGGGCTAAAGTAATCCTATGGTTAATGTTAACTCTATGGGACTAATGATAATCTATTGAACACTACCCGAATCATAGTTAAGTCATAGATTTGCTGTCCACTCCTTGTTTACACCACTTTTGTGTTGTTTTGCGATTGAATTAATTAATGTTTTGTTTCATTTGAACCCGTTTTTCATAGATATGGAGAGTTTTGTGAAAGCGTTGCAAAAGCATCAGTCAAAGGAGGGATCGGCCGGCGGTGACAAAGCGGGCGCCGCTGACACCACCACTAAAGACGATGATATGGCACTCGACTGAAGCCCCACTTTCAACACCCCATTGGTTAAGGTGTTGGTCGGCGGTGACGGCGGCCACTATAGTAACCCCTCTATCATCGTATAAATTAATTTGTTTTTTCTAATCAATAACTTTCTTTACAACATTTATAATAGTTTTGCTTTTTTAATGTGGAGTAAAACCATTGATAATTAATAAATATAATTACTTTCAATTCCTACAAAATTTGATTAAATTATTTTAAGAGAACTATATTAACNTTTGTTTTTTCTAATCAATAACTTTCTTTACAACATTTATAATAGTTTTGCTTTTTTAATGTGGAGTAAAACCATTGATAATTAATAAATATAATTACTTTCAATTCCTACAAAATTTGATTAAATTATTTTAAGAGAACTATATTAACAAGTGTTGTGTTATAAGCGGTACTAATAGTTAGCCAATTGTTACTATTGGTTGCTTTTCTGGACAGTATTAATGTGTTGACCAAATACTCGGAGACCTGTCTGTAGTGATAAACGAGAAGATAATACGATAACAAATGCTTTGCATTTATAATCGTTGATCACAATTGGTTGCCATATTTTACGCAAGCAATTAATTAACCCAAACGTATAAATTGTTATTTTTATTTGTAATTATAAAACATATGACATTAAATCAGACTTTTTGTGTTAGCGTTAACTCTTTAAACTAAATTCAATTATAATTAATATCATGTAATCTTTGGTTTCACTTGAGATGTAAACTGTTGTCACAGGAGAGTCGGCTTATGAATAATGACCGCTGGCTTTCTTCAGCTGATACCTGACGATAATGAAGGGAACGGCGAACGGGACGGCCATAAAGAGGGTAAACTTGATGGCAAACAGCCGATGGTTGGAAATATCAAACGGCAGATTCTGGCGCATAAAAACAAACATGAGTTTGCATTAATTATGGGCACATTTAAACCACCGGTGATTACCGGCGGCGGACCACCTGTTCCGTTGTCATACCTGCCCTTTATATGTGGTCTCGTCGTGCGATCGGCGAACCGACTGCAACATCTGCCGTTTGGCCAGCGATCGCATGGCATTGAGTCGTGTTAATAGTGTCGATGACATCTCATATACTTATATATCAGGTCCTAATTAACCCAAAATTAATTGTGATTACAATTAAACGCAATTCAAAGCGAGTGCTACTTTTGTCCGCAAAATATGTGCTTTTAATGGCAAAACACCCTCTAATGAGTGATGTAATGGCTATTAATTGTGATGTAATGATATGTAACGCTAATTATGGGCTCAGATTTGGCCTCTAATACGTAACAACTGTACACTGTGTGTTAGTGCATAATAGCCGTAAGTATTGACTGATTGTTTGGCCGCCCAATTGTGTCCACAATTTGCATTATATGTTGTGTTTGTGAATGCAATTTATGTCCAAATATTGAAGTTTTCTTAAATTGTGGCAAATGTTTATAAAAGTATTCATTTAAAACTAATTGTTTGATTATTGGTTCCAATTGTTCGCCTATTTTTACTAATTTTTATATAAATATTCATTAATTTACACAAATGTCTAAAACATTATTTTTATTGGTAATTATAAATCAGATCCTAAATCATAATTGAGATTACAATCAATCGGTAAATCATTAATTGAATTGAAAAAACACCCAAAAAATAAAGAGATTACTTCTCCAACAAAATATCTAATTATTAAACGCTATTTTTGACCAAAAAACTGATCAATTGTTTAGTGATAAATAAAACCAAACAATTAATTTGAGACATAATTATATCACTAAATAGTTAACAAACCATTGATTGTTTGCAATTAAATAACTCTTAAAATAAACACTAATTATAATAATCATATAATCTATGGTTGCATTTGAGATTCAAACTGAGCGTCGGGTGCGTTGAGTGGCCGACCACTGGCTCAGGCGTACTGACCGCTGGCTTTCTTCAGCTGATACCTGACGATAATGAAGGGAACGGCGAACGGGACGGCCATAAAGAGGGTAAACTTGATGGCAAACAGCCGATGGTTGGAGATATCAAACGGCAGATTCTGGTGGACACAGAGATACAGACATGAATTTGTATTAATTAATTGCACTTATAATCAAATCAAAGCTAACAAAACGGGCCAATCATAATGGGATCAGCTGTGCATCAGATGGCCATCACATACCTGTCCCTTATAAGTGATCTCGTCGTGCGATCGGCGGACGGACTGCAATGTCTGCCGTCTGGCCAGCGATCGCATGGCATTGAGTCGCGTGAATAGTGTCGATGACATCCCTCTTAACCACTTGTATATCGGGTACTAATTTTGGGCCAAAACTTGATTGTGATTACAATTGAATGCAATTCAAAGCGAGTGTTGTTTTGTTGTCCGCAAAATATTGTGTGCTTTTAATGGCAAACACTGTTTATCCTTCACTATCGATGGAGTCGTTCGTAAATAGCGTTACAACCAATTGCTATATATACAAGTAGTATTTAAGAAATAAATGACGTTAAACTAAGTTTGTGAGGGGAGGGGAGATCTTTATTAAACTTATTCAAGCATTTTATAGTAAAGTCCGTTATATCATGAGTTGAGGGGCTCTCCAAATGTGTTATAATACTGGACGTCATTTTTGTATAAACATATAAATTGGTTTTATTTCGCCCCTTCTTTCACTGTATTTAATTAAAATTATATATAATTTACAAATATATTTGTTTAGTTAGATAAATTATAAACGAGAAATTAAATAAGCATGCTAAATTATGTATTTAATTCATATAAATTGTATTCATTTATTGATTATACGCTATTTATGGACACTTTCATTACATTTCATCACTTATTAATGTACTGTTATATCATTTCCGCATCAAATGTCTTTGACATCAATCTTAATATAAATACAGTCTACTTATGATTATATTTACATCATTAGTTATATTTTCACAATTGGTTGTCAAACCTCTGTAGTATTGCAGTAATATTAGATGTACTCAAATATTCAACAAATAATGAACGGAAAATGAACATCAATTGCATCATCATAAATTAAACAGAAAATCACGTACACATAACCAGAAGTGGGCCGTAGTCTGTGCATCAACTGATGACAGAGAGAGTTATGCAAAGAATGTAACGCTAATTATCGGTCGCAGAGATTTGGGCCTTTCGTACACAACACGACTCGCATAACACAAACGCATAGACTTTGGCATCAAATGGTACCAAAAGTGGGTCCAAAACAGTCGCTCGAATGCGATCGCAAATCGACACCAAAATTGAGTGCAATTCTGAACTGAAATACAATTGAATTGTGTTTTCATTGTTTGATTCAAAACTCAATTAAAACTCGAGTTTTTAATTGCGATTTTAATCGACAATTAAGTACACAATCGTTGCGTTTGTGTTGTGTTTTGCGGTCACTATTTGTCGCCAATATTGAATCACAAGACACCTAAAGACTGTATTAATACTCATCGGTGGATCAGTTGTTTCGGTGACCACAATGTCTTCGCAGACCATAACCACAATGTCTTCGTTTGAGACTAATCTGAGTCCAAACTTAACTCAGGTTTGCATTCAATCATTGATTGTCTTATCGGCTCTTATATAGTGTACTATCCGTTACAGTCAACTCCCGGACAGTTATCTCTATTTTTGTGTCAATAATCCTATCAATTGATACCAATTCTCTCTCTCTCTCTCTCTCTCTCTCTCTCTCTCTCTCTCTCTCTCTCTC